CTTTCTTTCTTTCTTTTCTTTTTCTTTCTTTCTTTTTCTTTCTTTCTTTCTTTTTCTTCTCTTTCTCTTTCTCTTTCTTGAAACTTTAGTTAAATTCAGTATTTTTACCAATTGCATTTTACACCCAGACACAAATCTACAGAGAGAAGATGGAAAATAAGTGTCCTTATTTTTCCGTTATTCATCCTGTAGGTGAATCATCTCATCAGCTGTTAGATGCCAGAGTAAAACTGATTTCCCAGAGGCAGTGTAATGCACCAAATGCATATAATTACAGATTGGTGGATAGCATGTTTTGTGCTGGAAGTCTTCAGAGAACAAGAGCCGATACTTGTCAGGTTTGTTGCTTTTTGGTATCTGAACACTAATTTCTCTTCAAACAAAATGTAAACAGAGCAATGTCTGGCAAGGTACTGCCTACGTAACTGCTCCTCATATCAGATAACATTACCCCAACTTCCTTCCTTTCAGCATAATACAAAAGGCATATACTTAAAATTAACAGTAGGTCCTCTAATGGCAAGCAAGCCTCTGGAAGATTCAGAAGATGACTGAGTACAAGCTATGGAAACTTGGGAATTTTATCATTTATAAAATTGCTCACAATTTATCTCATTCACATGATCCACAATTTTCTTTTTACAAAAGCACCCAGTTCATTGTCCTTGACTGGATATAGGCTCTTCTACATATACATCATGGAGAAACATATACATCATGGAGATGGCAAAGGAGCATGACAAGGCTGCATACTCTCCCCTTATTTATTCAACCTATATGTGGAATATATATTAAGGGAAGCTGGATTTGAAGAAGATGAATGTGGTTTTAAAATTGGAGGGAGAAGCATCAATAACCCATGTTACATTGATGTCATTACCCTGATAGCCAAAAATGCAAAGGATCTAGAAGCCCTAGTACAGGTAATTCCCAGTTTAAGAACAAGTTCTGTTCCCAAGGTCTGTCCTTAAGTCAAATTTGTACGTAAACCAGAATAGTATTATTAGATAATATTGTATAAGTATTGTTGTGTAATGATCTCGAACCATTGTGTATTTAACTTGAATTTTGCTACAATAGGCCCCATTCTTAACTATGGGTCATCTTCAATCTGGGCATTCTTAACCCGGGACTACCTATACTAAAAGTCAAAGAACACAGTAAAAAAATGGGACTAAAATTAAATATAAAGAAGACCAAATTAATGACAGGTAGAACCAGCCTTAGAATTGACAATGAAAATATCAAAGTGGTGGATAGCTTCTGCCTTTTAAGATCAACAAACTACTTTTATGTATTTTTTTCTTCTTTTTGTAATCAATTTTTTAATTAATAAATAAATAGGATCAACCATAAACAGTAAAGGAACAACCAGTCAAGAAATATGCTGAAGACTAGCACTCAGTACAGCAGCCATGAAGTCCTTGGAAAAGATAGTCAAATGCCATGATGTGTCTATACCTACAAAGATCTGAATAGTACAAGCCATGGAATTCCCTGTGACACTCTATGCAAGTGAAAGTTGGACTTTAAAGAAGCAGGATAAAAAGAGCATTTATGCTTTTGAACTTTGGTGTTGGTGAAGTCTCTGGACAGCCAAGAAAACAAAATGATGAATTATTGAACAAATCAAACTAGAGTTCTCACTTGAGCAAAATAACCAGGCTCAAATTATCCTACTTTGGATACATTATGCGAAGACCCAGCTCTCTGGAAAAGAAGAAAACAGAAGAAGATGACCAGCAGCAAGGTGGATGGACTCAGTTACAGAGGCAATGAGTGCACCGTTGGGAGACGTGAAAGAACAGGTTATGGATAAATCATCTTGGAGAAAATCAATGTATGTGGTCGCAAGGAGTCAAAAACAACTTCATGGCACATAATCAATCAATCAATCAATCAGTCACATATACATGGCATTGAATAAAGGCATTATTGACTTATTCATTTATCAAAGTAAGACATGGTGACAGATTTTAAAAGCAAAATAATGCAAGTTAATAACATTGAAAAATATAAAATTTAATGAAATTTAATGACAGCATTAAAATTCATGATACCTCCTATGATTCAATATATGTCAGGGTTCTTAGTATGAAGGGTATTTTGCTAATTAGCAAATATTGGCACTATAATCCTGTAAGTATCTATTCAAAAGCCAATTTCATTATTTCAGTTTAAAGAAAAAACCCAGGCTAAGGAATAAGGTGACACACCTTCATCTTATGAAGAGACTATATATGGCCTGGCCTGCTTTTTAATGTTTTGTAATGATAATTGTATTATTTTAAGATTTTTTAAAGGTATTTTGAAAACTTGTAGGCTAAGCATGTGTATATATTGCATGCATACATACACACTTGACTGTATCTAATAGTTATTTCCAGGAGCATTAAACTCTAAACATTACTATATATAAATTTAAATTACAATACATAATTAATGCTGCACTGCATTATATAACATTTGGTGATATATAAACATATTTCAAAGATATTTTGATCCAGATAACCTTCTAAAACTAAATTCATACTTTGAGCATGCCTTTAAAACCAGTACTTTTGGATTTCAAAAAAATTCATTAACTTACTTAATCCATGACTATTGCCTTACCCTTGCCATTAGTATATTGAAAAAAATATAATTCTTCTGGATCAAGTATAAAATTTTAGTGTTAATTTTGTTTGTTGCCAATGTTAATTGTCATTTTTATTTTTTTCATTAGGGCGATTCAGGAGGTCCTCTAACATGTGTTAAAAATGGAACTTACTACATTTATGGAATTGTGAGCTGGGGAGATCAATGTGGATTAAAAAATAAACCAGGAGTTTATACTCGGGTGACAGAATTTCTCAACTGGATTAGAACAAAAATTAAACACGAGTCCAATTTTCACAACTAAGAATGGTAGACATGAAGACAAAAAGAATGGTAGGTCAAGTAATTCATCCTTTTAAAAATTCCATCCTTTTCTCTCTTCTATTTCAGCATTAAAGTATTTTGAGTCAAATTTCTACACAGAAATGTAAGCTGTACTACCTTAATAGTATTTTGGCTTGAATTCACTTGCTTATATAATGGCCCAGGTAAATATGCAACTCTACGCTGAAAGCAATACACAAAAGTTATGTTTTTTATTGTTATATTTTTATCATCTGAGGCATTCAGGATAGTAAACACAAACCCTTCTTAACCTTCATAATTAAAACTAGTTGGATTGAGAATTATCTGTGCAGAAGACCTTAATCTGTTTAGTGGGTAAATCAGAATATAAATTCAGAAACCAGGAGGAATGCTGTCCAAATAAACTACAAATGTTATATGAACACATCATTTGATTCAGGAGAACCTATTTATATTTGCTTTCAGTTACCCAGTATTTCCTTCTCATTCATTTCTTCAAACACTGATTGAATGATAATAAACCTCCAATATCAGTAATCACATATGACCAGGCCAGCTGAAGATCAAATGATATGTTATGGTATTTATGTACTGAACAGCTTGCAGTAAAGGATGATGTGGGGTCCTGATCTAGACTGTGACTTCTGCACAGATGGGAGATTAAACCTTTTTCTCTAGCCACTGCATTTCTAATCTTTTTCTCTTCTATTTCTTACTCAGGATTTTTTTTTAAAAAGGAAGGAGGCAAAAGTGCTCACTGGCATGAATCTAATTCAGCCACAAAGGAATTCAGAAAATGAACATCATTAACAAATCAACAAAATAACTGTACACTTTTTGGAAAGTGATTCCACTGATTTATTTTCAATACAAATATATTTTTTTTCTTTCAGCAAATCATGGTTCATATATTTTTAGTACAAAGCTGAGCCTGCCAGTCATCTAGTACTAATCTAATTTGCTGTCATAAATACTACATTATATAATACATACTTTAAAAAATCAAGTACAGCTTTTCATGCAAAAATATAAAGTTCAACATTAAATGATTCTTTTAGAATTAGCAAAGTTTTTTTTTGGTAATAACTATTTCTGAGTGGTGCACTACTCTGCTTCTCAGAAGACTAGAATAGCTACATGATTTTGAGAGCAAACTGAAAAATATATGCATTTTCTTTAGACAGATGTCTATGTTTCTGTTCATTTCTTAATTAGTTTCATTTTTCTTCTCTTCATTTGCAGAATCTCTGCTGCATCAGGATTCAACTGGACTTGTTGGGATCCTTCTGCTGTCTTCTCCTGCAATCACAATAGATTTAGAATGTCATCTCCTGACAAAGACTATTGTGTCATTCTCATTTGTTACAATTATATTGAACAATATCTCATATTCTAAGTAGCAGAAACAATATCCTAAAGCTGCCTTTCTAGGGTTGGGTACTTTGGCTATATAAAATTATATAGTGTAGATCCACAGCTTGGTTATTCCAAATTTCTTCCAGATCTTCAGATTCTTCTTCAGATAATCCACAGATCTTTATGACTGTAATAAAGATTATTCAAATAGTGATTTAGGTAGCAACCCAAACCAGCTGAAATGTTGAGATGTTCACAGGCCTATGGTATAAGTTCAGCTGTCTTGTTTCCAATAGTAGTTTAAGGGACAATCCAAATGCATATTGGGACAGACTTGGCTCAACAGATTCAAAGCCCAGATATGACCCTGGATCAGAACCCTTCACTGTAACTATGCCTAAAGCTTGCACAACTAATTTTCCTACCACTGGATTTAAAGGAACTGCATTCCATGGCCATTTGTCTTCCCACTTCCTTTACAATGGCTCGGTGGCAGAGGCTGGACCATCAGATACATCAGATACATCAGATGTGCCTTAGTTCTAGAACTCATAATGAATTATCAGCTGCTAACAGTACTTTGAAACTTAAAATGGCGAATTCCAGCAAATCAGTACTTTTGCCCCTCACTCCTGTTTGGGTTACCTATCCATTCACTTACATAGTCTGGATCATACTGATTCAGAGTTTCTTGAGATTCCATTTCCTGAGCATATGCCAGCTCTGCAGCTCTTCTGGCCATTTCCACTCTGTAAGAACCTGGAGGAGTCCAGCCAATACCTCTGATCCAATTCAAATCAGATTTGTATTTGACCTAGAAAACAAAATACAATACTAATCTCAAGGATCTTTCCAAGAATGTAACACTTGAAATCAGATGAAGCAAAACTGTATATATACTAAAGGGCTAAAAAAGAAAATGGCCACCCGAGGAAGCAGATGCTAATAGGCAAGGACAGGTAAAGGAGTAATGCAACCTATTCTGTGCCATCCTAGTGTTCTCCAAAATTGGGTGCTGTGGAGCCCTCCCATCTTAGAGAGTTAAGATTAAATTGTGCTTATATACAGAATAGGAAGACCGATACCATCTTTTCTTTGCTTCAGCGACTGAAGAGGCTTGAGTTTCTTCTTCGCATGGCAAACATGACTCGATTATTAACAAAAACCCACTCACATTATACAATATAAGAAAATAGTTGCCAAAGCAGAAGGGATTGGTGGTATGTTGGCAAGACTCAGGATGTCAAAATTTATAAGTCTTTTCTTTCTTCCCCTTTTCCAAAGTGAATATATAATAACTGTTATTGTTGAGAAAAATGTTGGAAATGTGGAGCAGTGACTAGATCTATTGGAAATCCAAACAATAGTGGAATATCTATAGCTATCTTTCAGTCTTTTTGTAACTCTCCACTTCCAACAATAGCAGCTCACAGATCCATTGGAGGAATTGGATTTCTTTAGAGAAACCTTTTCTGCTTTCTTCATGGACTGGCAAAATTGAAGGAACTTCCTGTTTTTAGTGGTACTTTTTTTTTTTCTTTCCTAACATGCATTAGTGTGTGCGTGTGTGGGTGTGTGTATGTGTATGTATGCATGTGCATATATTCTTCCACAAGTGAATTATTCCCACAATCTTCTTTCCTCTACACATGAGCATGGTATCACATCACGTGCATGGTATCACATCATGTGGACAACTCTCCCACCAACTGCACCTTTTAGTGCATTTTCTGTCTAAGCCTTCCTAAACCTGGTGTATTAGTTGGGCATTATGGAAGTTGAAATCCAGCACATTAGAATGGCACAATATTATGGGAAAAAAACTATTAGTGACTCCTTTTTAAGGCTAAACTGCTAACAATATAGACATCAAATTTGGATTTGAAAATGCGTATTCTGAATAGACATATCCTTGCCTAGACCATAGATCCTAACATACTTACATCACTTTGGAGTCCGTAGGCTTGCTTGGCATGCCTGAGATTCAGCTGCTCCGGGTCACAGGTATATTGATGCAGGTGCTGCCTGTAGTTGACATCACTTATCAGTTGTTGACTTTTCTTTGCATGGATAAATCCTGGCTGATCAGCTTGACTTCTGAATTGCGCTCTGTTTCTAAAATAATCCCTTTTATATTGGTTGTCACTTTGGAGGTGGCCCATCTTCAGGAAGTGTCTCATTTTAGGATCATCATGCACATTGCAAAATCCAATCTGGTGACCCCTTTCCCTCAGGAAGGCTTCTTTGTATCTGAACTACACAGTGTTGAGAGAGAGGAATGTTTATTTCATTACAGAATCATATGGAAGCATACTGTCACATAATTTCATATTGTGCCATATCATTTTACAGGTACATGCTGTGGCCTATATGCATAAATGCTAAATCATGGTACTGCGTGCTAACTATTTTGTTGAAATTGTTTTTGGATTGGGAACATTTCATTATAGTTGAAGAATATACGTGTGTAGAAAGCATAGATTCAAGACAATAATTACACACATAGGGCAATTAAAAATAAAACTCTAGGGTAAGCTCTTCCGGAGTTATCAGAGCATCCAGAGTCCTGCCAGCATATATGGCTACAGCAGGAGTGGCCAATCTTTTTCAGCAGGGAACCATTCTCTGACTTTGTGCCTTGCACAGGTTATACAGCCCATTATGTTACATTACCACTAAGTGGATGGGCCCAAATTTTAGGAAGATTAAAGGGAAAAGGGAATTTAAGGTTTTAAGGGGTATATTTTAAGGCTCTGAAGGCTTAAGGCATTAGTTTCGATCCTTAAAACTCTTCACAAATCCATTAAATAGAACAAAATGGGCCAAAATAATTGTGCCTTTTACAGGGAAAGCACATGCACCCTAATGTCCTCTCTCTGGACAACAGCAAGAAGTGTTAATTTCTCACTTAATTTTCTCATGATGTTTCCCCTTGTATTGACTGATTGAATGAATGAATACAGTATATTTAAACTAATGGGAAATAAAATACAGCCTCAGTCTGACATATATGAACTATGCCTGAAACAGTTACTCTGAGTTCCAGGTGTGCACTTATATTTTTCTGTATTGCACTCTTACTCTCTAGCAATCTCTGGTCTGAAAGGGTATGAATAGCAGTATTTGGTGAAACAAACTCCATGAAATAAAAGGATGCTAAGTATTTCCACAGTATATTAATAATGATTTTCCATATGCAGTTCAATGGGAGATACATGAATGCTAATATATGGGGCTGTTCTTATTGTGGGTTCCTTATGGCATGGAAAACAAGTTCTTTCCTTTAAATATATAGAAAAATCATGGATGACGTGCTAAGGCAGAAATGCCTTTAAGTGCCATGAGATTACATATCGGAATGTTTCATACATCACTGGCAATTTCTCTAGATGCTTTAGCTGTCTGAAAAGGGATGGCATCCAATCTGAAATCATAACCAGCTGCCCGTGTTTCCTCCCAAGATGTTTTATATAGTTTCTGCATTGAAAAATGGAAAAGCAAAGAAAAAAAAATCAATTCATCTTATTTACATATCTGTTGTGGCTTTATTAATCAATATTTGATTCTATGACAATCATTTATTTATGACTCAAAGACTGGCATGCATTCTTTCACTTTTTCACCTATAAAATACAATGTCCTATTTGGAAAGAGTCACAAATGTCATAATTAGAGTTTGCTTTGATGCATTAGACACATCAATATTGCATTGACATTGCCCCTATTCTGTCTTTTGAAACATTTAGCAGTAGCATTTTGGGTTTTACAGCAGAGACATTTCAGTGGTACATTTCCACTATGTATAACTTCAAACATTTTTAATACTTTCTGTGCTGTCTCCAAACCCTGCTGGTTTCATCAACCTATCTAAAACTGTGAGATGCTTTATAAGATACTGGATATGATTAAGGCATGAGCTAAATTCAAATTATAAAGAGAACATAGCTGTATGTGGGGATGCTGCTGAACACATGGATGCCTTCACACTAGGTCAGCTCTTCATGTGTTCAGCTGCATTGCCACATAGCTCAGGGATCTCAACTCAAACCATCACTAGGACCATGTGAACTGTCATTCCTTACCTTGAGAGCTGCAACACCGAAGCCTTCTAAGCAAGTATTAGAGCTAATCCATTCAGTTCTCTATTTGTTGAACTCAGGGCCAGCTTTAGGCTGATGCCGAGGAGGCAGTGACAATTTAATGCCAAAGCTTAAAGGGCACCAATGCATCTTCTCCTTCTGAATCCTTTTAAAATGCAAATCCTGTAGCTAAGGGTGCCATATACCCTCGACCTGGCACTGGATGGATTACAATTCTATCATCCCCACCCACCATATAGTATAAAACTTAGACCTGTTCAAATCCATTTCTGCTTGCAAATGAAATGACTAGTTCAAGTATTTTTCTTAAATGTAATTCTAAGTTTTAGAAATCTGCACTGAACACTTGCATACCCATATGGACATGCCCTACCACTATTTCCTGATAGTGACTTCCTGTTTTGGGGCAAGAATCCCTTTGTTCCACATACTCTTTAAATATATTTTTAATTAGGAATTTTAATTACAGTAGTAAAAACTAATGCAAACTAAACTTAGAGAAAGAAAATAGAAGGGAAAGAAAGAATAAAAGGTTCAGGAAAAAAGAAAAAGAAAAAAGAAAAAGAAAAGAAAGAATAGAATAAAGAAAAAGAAAAGTAATATATAAAGAAGTGACTTCCAACCTTCATCACAACAAGTATAAACAAATTTAATAACTCTTCACCCCTTTTAAGGTTAAACAGATATTTCTTCATCCCATATCCTATCCCTTATCTATAAACAAATCCATAAAACATCAGCTTTTCAACCCTGGTGTCAGCAAAAAGTCCATAAAGGGTTGCCAGAACATTTTAAAAAAATGTCTTATTTTAACTTTGATCAAATAAACCAACCTTATATTCCTTCCTTTTATTTCTAAGTCTTAATCTTTAATTTAATCAAATATTGTCATAAAATTTGATTTCTCTTCAGTTATTCTTTATTCCATCGCACAATTCTTCTTTATCCCTTCTCCTTTAATATTATAACATTTTGTTATAACATTTTGTGTCATTTTGTAAGTCCCAGTATTAACTGACATCAGGCTTGTACTTTTTTTTTCTTCTGTTTAAAATCTTTAGTCCCGTCTAGTGTCCAGTTTCTAAAATCATCATTTATCTTTTGTTATGACTTACCATAATCAGGATAGCCAAAATAAGTCTGTTTCCCACAAGAAGTTGTTTATTTTTTATAGTTAATTCCAAAAACTTATACTAAAAGTCAATATTCCAAATTTATCTGAACCTTAATCCATTTATAACTTTCTTAGATCAAAATCTTATTTAGCCTTTTGCTGTTTATTTCAAATTCTTTAAGTTCTTAAGCTTGTAATTAATTTTTCTTTTGTTCAGAGTGGAAAATAAACTCAACCAATGAAGATTTTCCAAACTTGTCATTCCAAAGGTCTCTAATAGCTTTAAGTTAGTTAATAAGCAATTTCCAAAAGTAATTAGAAAGTGAGGTTTGAGAACTTAGTTGTGACCCAGATGGCTGATCCCATCGTCTCCCAGTGCTCAAACCCACAGAAAACCACTGTCCTGTGGTCTCCTTGTGAGGAGCAGCTGTCCAGAGCACATGTGGATGCTCTTCCATCCTCTCCTTATTCGGAGAGGTTCCTTGGTCTTTGTCACAGTTGTCAGCCCTGCTTTTGCAGAGCCATCTTCAGTTCACTATACCTCCCCTGGAAGTCCACTTTATTACACATTACACATCTCAAGTGCTTAACTCAGATTGAGAAAGGATGGTGAGAAACCTTCAATTTCTAACAAGCCAAGATTTATAGGAAATAGGCTAGGGATTATCATGCTTCTAAAGCCTTAGAAAGGAGGAGCTGCTGCAGTAGTGCATAGCAGAGTAAGCCTAACCCTGGTTCGAGCTGTGATGATCTTGCTTGCTTGCCCTCCCACACTGTCTCAGGTGGAGGGGATGTCCCTCATAGGGTGGTGCCAGGGTCTGCCATGGCAGGGTCCATATGACCGGTTCAGGGTGATGACCCAGGACTAGCTCTGGTAGAAGCAGTGTGGGAAGGTGCCTTCACTACACTCTAGATGGTCTGGGTGAAAAGCCATCCGCTGCATACTTAGCTCCAATAACCCCTAGAGATTATTGCACAGCCATCACCTTAGCTATCTGGGTTCATTTAGCTATGATTGCACCTTGATGCAAAGCTAGGCATGCAACCTCAACAAGCTCCTCCCAGATGTGGAGCCACACTATCTTCTTACTTAAGGGAGGAGATTTAGTGCCTGGTCAAGTTCAGTAAGCTGCTGCCTTACTTCCAGTGGCAGTTCTGGTGTGTTGTGAGTAAGGCACTTTCTACTGTTCTGGCTTTTGCTTTCCATACCATACCAAATAACCTAGAAGGCTTCAGACTCTGAGTTTGAGACCCATGAACCAGGTAGAGATTGGGATCCACATGGTGGCTCTATCTGATTTCAATCTCAAAAGTTCATATCATGGTACTTCTGGTTAGGGTTCACTTCATCAATGTCCTACCAGAGAGGAAATTCTCAGGGTTGGAGCTCCCATCCAAATATAATATTGAGCAGATTAATTGTAGCACCTTAAGCACTGATACTGGGGTTGACTCTTCCATTACAACTAGAGGCAGCAGACTAGCTTTAGAGGCAGTAGAACATGGACTATATGGTACACAGCTCTCTCCTCTCACACTTTGCTGCTGCCTTCCCACATCTGTTGCCTGAGATAACTACTCACTTTTTCCTGAATTTGTCCTGCACCTACCTTCTCAGATTACTTAGATTCCTGTAAAACTTTTATATAATCTGTGGTAAATTAATGTGGCATCCATGTTTTTGGACATGCCCAAAATTCTAACCAATTTTGTTCCTATTTGGTCAGTAGTATCCTTGTTTGAGCGAAAATGATACGGAACACAAGCAAGAATGCATCCAAACATTAAAAAAGATGGCCTTTTAAAAAAGCAATTTAGATAAATCTGCAGATTTATTTGAAGAAATCGTATTAGAAGAATTTGACATTCCCTCCTTCAGTGCGGATTAAATCCAAATCTAGAACTTTTTCTCAAGTTCTAGTCATTTCTCATTTCCCTGCCCCATTTCTCTCTCCTTTTCTTTCTTTTAAAACTGCAAATCTTTGGCCTTGCTGTTGCAGTTCATTCTTAACACAGGTCCTTTGATTTGAAACCCCATGCATCATTTTACTTTATCACAGTTTGCACAGTTTTTGCACTCATCCTCGCACATTACATTCATTTGATTTATGGCTATCTTTGCAGCTTTACAAATACCAACATGTTTTTTTTCTCTCTCTCTCTCTCTGTGCTGTGAGGTCAGTCTCCCTCAACAGCTTTCTGTGTGTGGCATCTGATCCAATTGTGTATCTACCAAAAGCAGTTTCATTTTTAATGAGATGCCCCCAACTCCTCCACCTCCTCATGCACTCACTGGCTGTTTCAGTTCAGATACATGCTGATCCATTTGAATGGTCTGAGAAGAAACGGAACATACCAGACATACAACTGTGCCATTCATCTGGGCATGGCAATGCCGCTCTAACTGCATGAGCAATATAGCTCTCTTATTCTTTTCTTCTAACATGAGAGGAAAGGGTTGCCAATGTACAATGCAAAATGTGCTACCTGCTTCTACTTCTTTGTGTGTTGGAGCAGCCTTTCCAGCATTGTCCTCTGCTATTTTTATATTCCAGTAATTGATTAAATGGATCACTTTATGGATTTATTTGCTTATCTTTTTTTCCACATTAATATGCATATTTAATTGCCCACCAATGAAACATGGGCTGTACATTGTTACAGAACTTTATAATCTGTAAAACTAGACTATGGCATTTAATGGCAGGCAGCAATATTCTTTTACCTGTAGTCTTGTTTCAAAATTATATTACCTCCAAATAGCTTGAACAATGTCTATAGCAGAAGTAATGTTGATCATATCTATATTGATTTATGGAATTAACCTCCCGAATGAAAAGGAACAATTACTTACATCACTGATGTGGAGCGCATTGAGGCGTGCCCTTATGAGGTCGGGGCGGTCAGGGGGCAGAGTGTATCTGTGCATGTTGTCCAAACACCCAGCCCGGTATAGCCGCTGTTACGACAAACAATATTTAGTGTAGTTTCACACTATCTAAAATGCTATTTTCCCCAAGAAGTTCAGTGCACAATGCACATAACACCAACTTACACCTATGCTTATACTTGCCCTAGGCAAAGCATTATTTCCACTAGAAAAAACAAAACACATCTCTATTTTGTTCCAGCAAAAAATCTACAGGCTAAATCAGAAGTTGCTATCTGGAAAATCTTTGTCACTGCACAAAACATGGACTATGTCAATTTATAGGACTTTTCTGTATTTCTACTGGTAATAAATCCCTATGAGATATTTCAAATACCTCTATCTCTTCAGAACTCAGAATGTTCTACAATAGAAGTACCAGAAGGCAAACTCATGACTACCAGTAGATCTCTGAAAAATCTGTGATAATTTGAGATCTGCTCACTTCCGAATGTTAACAAAATAACTAAGCTGTAAACCTGCCTGAAACAACATAGGACATTTAGGATCAGCAGGATTGATCATCTATCTAACTATCATCTGTCTGTCTGTCTGTCTATCATTGCGGTGGAAAGACTATGAGCTTCATTCACTTCTGATGCTCAGAACAAATTCTTGGGCTGAGAAGTAATGAATTCTAAATGTGGATCTTCTGCAGTACACCCTGGTTGATAGATTTCAATGTTGTAGTAAAAAAGCCTAAAGTCCAATATATAAACTTGGGATAAGTTAATACCTTTGGAAGTTCATAAACAAAATATTATGCCACTGTTATTTTCTGCAATTTACTATATGTTTGACAGCCAACAACAATCAGCTATTTGTAGCTATAATATTTGTTCTAATGTCATGGTTGTGACATTCTATAAGGTTGAGGGCTATTACTTATGACCTACAATATCATAAATGCTTATCTTACTTCATTGCATTGAAGGTAACTATTTTTAGCATGGATGAAGTCCAGCGAGTCTGTAACTGTGGTGAACTTCAGACTATTTGGTTTCTGACGATATTTTGTCTGCAAGTAGAATAAAGGACAATAATTACAAACCATAATAAAGAAGATTCCATACAAATGATGTCATTTATACACATAACATTTTCATTATAAGTTCAGTGTAGTCTAATGGATTCTGTGTGTATAATATAGCTGTCAACACCACCAGGTAGACCAGACCAGGAATCAAGTCCACAGGAAAACTAAAACTACTTTTACTGAGATTGGCTAAAATAACAGAACCTTTCAAATCTGATTGTGCTGTGCCTCCTCCCCTTCTTATACCCATGTGATTTAGGGAGGTGTCTGAGCCATTCCACATCCTTCCTCTTGTTTTGGACTTAAGCCATCTATTTTTCTCTTCATTGTTTTGGTAACGGAACTGGCCTATCTCTGTCAATATCATTTTTCTTCCTCTCTACAACAGCATTTCTTAAAAAAAAATACATAATTAAAAATAGAGATAAAATTTGCTCTCTGTTGGTTAGCTAGGTTCCAGAAATGGTTTGTCAAACAGAAGCATGATGTATTTGGATCTAGAAACTACTATTTTTTATGATGATGATGATGATGATGATGATGATGATGATGATGATGATGATGATGATGATGTAGTGCAGTAAATAAGCATGAAGAAAACCTTTTTAGTGCTTACTTTTACTGGATTACTAACTGGTAAGACTAAATATATTATGGCAGTGATGTATGCGCAAAACAAAAAAAAATTGCTAAAACCTATGGTTGCAAATAAACGTATGAAACTAAAACTGAAACAAAACAAAATCCTATATAAACATAAATTGCATTCAGAATGTCTCATCTTTGTCTTTCTGGATTCCAAACTACAATATAAGGTTTTTTGCTTGTAAATTAGTTATATTGATATAAGGATGAATTTCTGCTTTTTACTATTAATTGCAAGTATGCCCTTTTCAAAACTTTAGGTCTCCTCTGGTATTGGTAATATATGACCTCTGTACAGGCTTCCATATCAAAAGAAAGTACAGTGCTACATTTGTAAGGAATCCTGATGGCAAACAAATCTTATGGATGTACAATCCCATGAAAGAGTCAGCAATACCTCACTGATGAGTTCTCCAGCCTTCTTCACATTTTCTATATGAGGGGATCTCAGAGGTGCCCAGCCAACCCCCCTCATGAAGTTCAGGTCTGATTTGTATGAAAACTATCAAATAAAAACAAAACCAAAATGTGAGAAAGTATAATGTGATATGATCCCTGATTTATATTCACATTTGAATGTTTATAATTTCTGAGACCCTGAGACAATATTTTTTTTTTTTTGCATTCATCTTTTCCTTTTGGAATAAATATTAAATAACTGACAGATTTAGGAAAGATGCTTAGCTAAATGGATACATTTTGAAATATGCTGCTTTAAACATTGCCCAGCTACACAACCACCTTTGTCAGAGGATGCTCAGTAAACATTCTTCAATGAGTATAACTAGGTATATTGTCTTTTATACAAATGTTAAAAGGATACTATAAAATTTAGGGTGTGAAGCAGCCCTTAGTTGACAGACTAACTGAAACAAGTTTTACCAGTTCATTCTGTTTGTAACCTAAAACAGAAATTTGCTTTGCTTTGGTATATTAGCTATGCTTAGTGAAGAATCCAAGAGTGATTCTCCAATGTTATCATTAGCTTTCATTGAAAAGATCCAACTGGCTGAACTCCTTTAAATTGTGTTCTAAACATACATATTTGAGTTTGAAATGTTCCATCATATGCACAATGAAGTAAGAAAAACAGGAACTGACAAGCTTTTGCTTTGATTTAGGCTAAAGTTCCAGTCAATAGCACTTCTTGTAGTACTAGTTGATGCCAACATCCTATTAAATCTAAATTTAATTAACAAATTCCTCCAGCATAACTTCTGAATAACATTCTGAACTCAATAATAAACCATATCCTTCAGAATGTGCAGGTGCAGGCAGGTTTAATAGGCATAACTTTATACTAAATAGCCTATTTATTTATTTAATAAAATTAGCAATACTTAATTTGATTAAGTATTAATCCTAAACCATTTCATTGTTTGTGGTCCAAGATTAGTTGTCAGGGTGTCACACTATTCTTACCACTGACATTCAAGCATATGCAGTACCTCACTCTGCAGCAAATGAACTCTTTTGGCCCACTTCATCCTCAAGTCTTCAGGGAGCACTGTGTACTCATGCAATCTTTTCCTGTAGTCCTGGTCGCTGATGAGATTCTGGGCTTTTCTAGCATGAACTAGGTTAACCATATCCATAGGAAGACTGTACTGAGAACAGATATTTCTGGAGCCTTTCTTGTATTCCTGTTCACTCTGTAACTTAGCAGCATGCAAGCAATGTAGCAGATTAGTATCATCCAGAATGCTTCTGGCACCAATGTGCTTCCCTCTCTCTGAAACAAAGTTGTGTTTGTACTGTAGCTGTGATGGAAAAGAAAACAGGATTTAGCTTGCATCCCTACATCTGTGATGCTTTAAAAAGTAAGCTTTATGTCTATATAAAGAAATGGAAAGTGTTCACTACAGTGAACTATTCAATACATGAGAGAGCTATCACATATTTTATCGGTGTTGTGCTTCTATTCACTTTTCATCTTTCACATGTCAAAAACCTGGCTCTGATCAGCACATGCCAAGAGAAATTTTATTGTTTGAACACAGGACTCTATATGTGTCTACTGAAAAAAGTGAGATATGGTAGTACATCCTTTTCAACTCAATGGTTAAGTATTTGAAGGATTTGCTGCTAGGCCAGGAAGGCTGGCCAATGAGACCAGATGAATATGAAGTGAAGCATTATACAGGGGGAGAGCATCTGCATCTTCTTCATATGTACACTGCAGTGTCAATGTTTCACCTGTAGCATCAAAGAGATAACATGTTCATAACCATATCTCAGCATGACTCAGGCTATGCCTTGTTTATCTGAAAGTTATATAGCCAAAATACTTATTCCTATCCAAAAGTTGCTATATTTAAAAATAGCCTGGAATATATAAAATTGCCTAGACAAATGTTACTTGCAAGGAGTCACTGGGGACTGAAAAAAATAGTTCAACATATTGAATTCTCCCAATAACCAAAGAGAGGAAATCTATATTACTTATAGATTGTATGGGTTCCACTGATTCTTTGGACAGTGTTGCTCACTGTGAGACAGTGAAAGTTTGAGTGTTGTTCACTGTGACCTTATTACTTGATTTGGGGGGGGGGGGGGGCATTTTTTTTTTCCAGGAAAGTTAAGAACTTAATTCCCATACAAAAAGTATTGGGCTTCTAAAAGCAGAAATCAATATATTAATACTGTCAAATGTAAATGTAAATCTCTCTTCATTATCCTTAGCTGTTTTATAGGAATACCCAAGGAAATAAATGGATTCTCTATTTACATGGATAGATATTATTTTGGATGTTCTGGGTAAATCAGAACTGAGCATCCAGAGTTATTTTTCTTCCCCCTATTCCCATTGTAGGAGCTTTAGCCCTGCTTTGTTTCTGATTAACAGTGACTTTTTTTTAATTCACACAAAGAATCTCATTCATAAGTAATATATTCTGTCTTACATCCTTGTCTCACATGATTATGGGACTGCTTTAATTCAGTAAAATCTGCTTTATACAATGTATTACATGAAGTTAACAAAAATTAGGCAAGATGGAAGGCTGCATAATTCAACTCACATCACTGGCAATTTCTCGGGAGGCCTTGGCAGTCTGGAAAGGGATGGCTTCCATTGTCAGCTTATAACCCTGAGCACGGAGATTATGCCAAGATTCCCTGTATTTTGCCTAAAGTGGAAATGGCAACTTTAGATTTCTTGGTTAAATTTTCAACAGTTGGTTAATTTTAAATCAACAAAAGGAACTTGTTTTGATCATAGCACAGGGTTTTCAAAATATCTCACATAGTTTTTTTATCACTTGTATAAATATGCCTCTTCAAATCAAATACAATAAAAACAATGCAATAAACATGGCAAATGGTAAATAATCTTTATATGAATTGTCTAATTTGTACAGATGTACAATATAAGAGATAATTATGTCTATAAACTACCATGAGCCACATCCAGAACTTATATTAGATTTGGACAGAAATTTTCACCCATATCATTTTTGCATGCATTTATTCATACTCTGGATTCTTTCTATTGCCACATTAATTTAGGAAGGAAAAGAAGGTGTAAGATTCAGTGTAGATAGTACTTCTACCCAAATATTAACATCCCATAATAACTGCAATCATTATAACAATCTCACCAAAGAGTATTTAACTCTGAAAATGTACTTCATTGGAACCAACGCCAGTATAAAGACCATTTTCAATAAAAAGTAAAAGGTAATACGGACAATTTAGTTGCAGCAATGCCAATGAATTAAGATGTGGGGATAATAGATGCAGTAAGGGAATTAAATTATCAGCTCTCAGAGCAGTCAGATTTTCTTTCTAAAGAGTCACAGCAGCCAAATATAAAATGTAACACAGAGGCTAAAATTGTAATAAATATATAAACCACAACGGCTCTGACAGAGAATCAAGTACAGAAGACAGCAATTACTGTTCATACAGTTCAGTAAAATGGGTGTTACTATAAACCTCTCCTGTATGGAATAAGAGGTTAAAGACATTTATTAAGGAGAAAAAACTGCCAGGACTAAACGAAGCACTTACCTCACTAATGTTCATTGCATTCATTTTTGCCCTTTCAAATTCAGGAAGCCCCAGTGTTACGGTACAGTGATGCAAAGTGTCTTCCCCTGCTGCTTTGTACAGGCGCTAGGAGAATCGTTTTTAAAAGTCTAGTTAACAAGAATTCCTTTTAAATGTTATCAAGTTACATTTATGAAATGAAATTATATTCACATGCTTGGATTTTTTTTTTACATATATTCCTCTAATACCATATGTTTCATATTACAATTGTTTTGTATAAAATATGGTTTTTATACAAATATGGAATTATCTCCAGTCCAAGACTGGAAGCTTTGGGCAAGAATCTCCACAACTGAGGAGAATCAGTAACAATTACTGAAATTGTAATCAACGTTCTCCATGCAGGAAAAGATGGGGAAACAGTGCTCTCTATCGCCTCTTGAAGAAAGAAAAACTTTTGCTGCAACTGTCCTATTTTCTTCACAATGGATACATCATTCCCACCCACCAAATTGTTTTTTTCATGGCTCAGAATAGAAGAGGGATCTGCCAATGTCCTACTTTCCATCTCTATTCTGCTACTATTATATACACAAAAGGGTTAAAGATGGAATAACCACAGGCTGCTCCTTTGGGCCTGTCCCCACTAATTACAGTATTGTTTCCAGTGGCTCTGGAAAGTTCTGTGCCTTTGGATAACATAGATCTAGATATATAGATAAAGTAAATTGTTGCCTGTTGTTCATGTCTTGCTCTTTCTCTGCTTTTGCCTGCCTTTTATCCCATTTTTGCCAGCAAATGTTTTTGATGTTTGCTGATGTTTAATAAATAAACATCAAGCTACATTTTTGTTAGCTGTACTGAATAGCGTGTCTGCTTGCTCTGATCTGGATATAGGGAATGACTGGGAGTGTGCTGGGTGCAAACTAAAATTGAAATTGCCCCCAATAATTCAAAAGGAAAGGATGAGGACAGATGAAACAGAGTTTTATGATATCAACCATATCCATCCTCTTCTTTCGAACATATAGCTGGAGGGTTGTGGATTTTCCCTAAAACAGGGTGGATCTTTCTATTATGGTTTTTTCTTGAAACAAGAGGAGGAATATAATGACTTCAACCAGATGATGTAGTTAATAGGTTCAACCCTTGGGTCTCCCAAACTGGGGGGGGGGGGGGGGGTCGTTCCGTAATCTGGTATACTGT